GGCCAGTTTAGTGTAACCCTATAATTCTAAATAAGATTACTTAAACAAAAATATTAATCATTAATAAACAAAGATTATATTTATACGTGTATTAATATAATGTGTCTTCTTGCCATCGTTTCCTAAAATTATATTGTTGAACAAATTTTTCATATTATAACCTGCAAGATTTAAGAAAATAATATTTATTTATCATTATAACTTATAGTATTTATATTAAAAATTTTAAAATAAACCAATTTTATGAAACAAATTTTCTTATTGTTAATATTTTTATCTCACAATCAGAATAATTTTTTAAATTTTATTTAGTTATAAAAATTACTATAATTATATTTTCTTTTATTAATTATTTTGTAATAAATATTTTATTTTTTAAATAAATGAATTAACAATTAAAAATTAATCAATTGTATTTAAAATGCAAAATAATAACTGTGTTAAAAAAAAGTAGTAATTAAAATATTAAACTAAGTGCTAAGATTATGAATTATCAATTAATTATAGTAGTGTTATTCTAGAAATAACAATTTTAATATTATAAATTAAATTACATAATTAATTATAGTTATTAAAATATTAATCTAGTGAAATAAACATATGCATTATTATTGATTAGGTTATGATAAACAGGTATCATAACATAATAAATTCCAGAAGATTTATTCATACATGTAATACAACAGCAATAAATTAATATAACTATGGTGATATTTTTATTTTTTTATTTTGTATATTATGTAATAATATTGATATAAATATTCAATTAGCTTAAGTAATTTAAATATTTTTGTAATAGTTTCACTAGTTTAGATTTATATATAATGTATGAATAAAACAATAATATTTTCAGTATAATAAATGTAAAATTATTGTCATTATTATAAATAGGCACCCAATTGATTTACTAAAAAGTTAAAATGTACTTTACAACTTAATATTATTATTCGCTATTTCCATACTCTAGAATCAATCAAAATATTACATATTATTGCAGTGCAATGACAATGAACATGTCCATAATGCCTACAATTTATATTAATTATACGGTATGTTTATCTAAATGATAATATAAATTTAAAAATATATTTGTTTATTATAGGATTCAAAAGTAATGGGATTACATCTGTTGTATATATGTACGTACTTTGACGAATTTTCAAATTATCTAGTCCATTTTTTAAAATAAAATATTTGTTTGTTATATTTTAATAATTTGTTGAATTTAATATTTCATTTTTAAAAAAAATCATGTTTCTGAAATTTTTAATTATTTGTAAAAAGTAATATTCAAAATAAAATTTATTTACAATTCAAATTATTATTCACTAATTGTTCAATAATCAAGTAGATTTATATTATTGTTTTTCAACTTAATACAATTTATTGAAAACAATCAATATAATTTTCGTTATAAAACATGTCAACTATATTTAAGTCATTCATTTCAATACCATTATTTCTCAACACTGATTCTGCTTGCTTATTTTTAATTTTAAAATAAATAACAAATAATTCCGATTAATAAAATAAATGTAAATAATACGCTTATTGGAATAATAAATATATTTGAAATTAATATTATTTTCGGTAACTGCTTGGATTGTATTGGTTGAGAAATTGTTGATAGGGATTGTGGTCACCATGGGTACAGTGAGCCCGGTGTTCATAGTAGGAATGGTGGGTAAGGTTGACATTGTGGGTATGGTGGAGAGTTTGTGCCCGGTAGGCATGGTGGGTACGGTAGATACGGATTGTACGGTGGATTCTGTGGGTGTGGTATTCATGACGGATGCAGTGTGCATGGTGTGCACAATGGGTACGGTGTGAACGGTAGGTACTGTGTGTATGGTGGATAGGGTGTGCATGGTGGGTACGGTGGGTACGGTGTATACGGTGTGCATGGTGGGTTGTGTGTGTACGGTGTGCGCGATAGGTACAGTGTGTACTGTGGGTACGGTGTATACGGTGGGCACTGTGTGCATGGTGGGTACGGTATTCATGGTGTGCACGATGGGTATGGATGGCATGGTGGGTATGGTTGACAAGGAATGTGTGGGCTTAGGCTGTTAGGAAAAATAAGCTTTACAAATAATATATAATAAAAAATATACTTGCTTTCAATGTTGTAGTCACTTTATAATAATAATCATAGTTTTCAAAATCTTCTTGTTGGAACATAAAAATAGGAAAAATTAATAATAAAACAAATCTAATAAAATTCATTATAAAATTATTATATTATAACTAAAAATTTATAAAGTAATGTTATTCTTAAAATCAAGTGTTCATACTGTTAATATTGATTATAAGAATAATATTAAACTTGCCTAATACATTATTGTAATTTAATATGCTTTATCCTAAATACATTTTATGTTGATTTAATGTGTTAAGCATTGTAATTAAATACTTTTATATATAGCTTATTAAAACACTGAAAAAATGTGACTAATATTATATTAAACATTATACAGTATCCTTTAAATTATAAACAAAATTCATATAGCAGTATAACCAACTAAAGTATATAGTATTAAATGAATTATCTATAAACCATAATTATAAATATTTATAAATATATTTAAAAAATAATCTAATTTAAAATATTAATGTAATTAAGTTTCAATAAGTTAATTATGGTATTCGGTCATTTGATCTACAGGACATTGGACCTACAGGACATTTGACCTACAATGGGACATTTGACCTACAGGAATTTTGACCTACAGGGGGTCATTTGACCTGCGGGACATTTGACCTACAAGTGTTTACCTACAAAATAATGATATTGTGATAACTTTTGAACTATACTAGATAGAGGGGTGCTGTAATGGAGTGATTTGATCGATAGAAAGTGAAGGTATTAATTATCACCTTAACGGTTCCAGGTCATTGTACGATGTCAAGTGATACATCGTTGGAATCAGCTCGATGTGTAGGTATTGAAAATCACTTCTTGAGCTAGATCTGATAATATTCTTCCATGGTCAAAAGAAGATAATTACTTTCAAATCAGCCCAATATGTCATGTAATAAATCGTTGGAGTAAGTTTGATGAGTGGACATAGAAAATCGCTTCTTGGGCTTGATTTAAGTCAATTATCTTCCATTTACCATGGAGGAATATTATCAGATCTAGCTCAAGAAGTGATTTTCTTTATCAACTCATCGAGCTGATTCTAACGATGTATCACATGACATGGTACGATGACCTGGAACCGCTGAGGTGATAATTAATACCTTCACTTTCTATCGATCAAATCACTCCATTACAGCACCCCTCTATCTATTATAGTTCAATAGTTATCACAATATCATTATTTTATGTAATTAAACACTTGTAGGTCAAATGTCCCGTAGGTCAAATGACCCCCTGATAAACATACGTAAAACTGTAGGTCAAATGTCCCATAGGTCAAATGCATTCCTACGGGGAAACCCCATTTCAATCGTTGAAATACATGAAGTCTACGAGAAGTTAGTGGGTGGGTCCAAAAACACCGAAATCCCCATAGAAATACATTAAGTCTACGAGAAGTTATTGGGTGGGTCCAAAAACACCGAAATCCTCATAGAAATACATTAAGTCTACGAGAAGTTATGGGGTGTGTCAAAATTTACCATTTTAGGATTTTAGGTCAATTTGTCATTAGGTCAATTTGTCAGTAATGACTTAACTCTAAAAAATTAGGTCAATTGGTTATTAGGTCAATTTGCTATTAGGTTAATTGGTTATTAGGTCAATTGGTTATTAGGTCTATTGACCGTTTCCCATTAACATACTTAGTTACATTGACAAGAGAACACAATTTATAAATACATAATGTGATACTATTCCTTATATAGTTAAATCTATAGATAATTTTAGTGACGTTTGAAATAAAATAATATATAAGCTAGAAGACTGTTGAAAATTATTAAAAAATTAAAATCTGTTTAACATGGCTCTATTAAATGCAAACGCTATTAACTTTAATTAAATAAGAATGATTGTTTTAATGGATTTAATATTGATACGGAATATGATGTAATGGAAATTTGATATAGGTGTAGAAAGTGCGACGGAATGCTACCATTTCATACAACTAAAAAGTATAATTATTTAGACTAATTTGATAAAATGAGTGTTAAATATTATGCTGATCTATATCATGGTATACCATTTAATTCACGAGTTGCCGATTCTCAAAAGCAAACAGATGTGACATCGGCTTTAAAATTTTTGTATATTGCAAACGATAACATGGATCGAAAATATATTGGATTCCTTAATAATTATGCAAGTTTAGACTGTTGGGTTTGGCAGGATTTGGTGATCGAATAGTCGACATGACAAAAATGGATGACATCAAATGCCCATCAAATGAGGAAATACGATCCTACGAAACTTATGGTGAAGAAGATTACTCTCCATGTAATCTCCACAACTGTTTAGAGGATGGATCTAAACCGTTCTGTGCAAAAGTTAAAGCGAAATTTATTGCCGATTTCTTTATACGTAAAACAAGATATCTTTGTATATATATCAAGATATGTTTTATTAAATATTTTATACAAGTATCAATGTTTTAAGACTAACCTTTTAAAGTATAAATAAAAATCTAATTAAATGAATTTGAGTAAATTATTTATTTTAAAAAAATCAATTTTGTTTTAAATTTATAAAATTTATAGAATTAGATTTTTTTATTTTTTTTAAAATGTTGGCTAGATCATTTGAAAATTGGTCAAAGTACGTACATATATACAACATACTACTTTGGCCAAATCTACCTACCGAAGGTAAAAGTTAAATAATTTTTGAATGGATTATCCGATTTTTAATCGGTTTTCATCAAAATGTAGCTGGATAATTACGTAATTAAACGGTATACCATTTGCCATATAAAGTACCATGGTAATGTAATAAATAAAATGAAATAATTTATCCTAAGAAATACTGATTTTATTTATAATGTAAATCAATTTTTGCCAAATGTTTTTTACAAATTTGAAATTTAATAATGTGTGTGACCTCCCTGTGCTGTGATCACCTCTTCCATTCGTCGAGGCATTGAATTAAGCAAATCAATAAAATATTGTCGCCATTGTGGGCCTACCATTGTCTGATGAGCCCTTGACACTGCTTCCCACAACTGGTCCTCTGACTCGATGGGCTGGCGCTCAGTCCGAACCAAATTCTTGATCATCGCGCCCACATTCTCACACGCATTGAGATCAGGGCTGAGACTGATTATAAAAACAATTTTAAAATAAGATTAATACTTTTATGAAAACTATACCCTGGATGTGGTAGAACGAAATCCTCGATGGGACCGATGTTCTCGTTAATCCAGTCCCTCACTATATTAGATTTGTGAACGGGATGGTTGTCATGCAATAAATGCACGTTCCCGTCATCAAAATGGCCATCGATTTCAGGGTGAATAGTTCTCCAAAAAGTCCTCATAAGACTCTTTCGTCAAACGATTGAGTCGATAAATGGGTCCAATTCCGTGGAAACTGAAACTAATAAAAAAAACAGAACTATTCATATTATTAATAAAAAAATATTAATACATCGCAATAAATGAAACACTGAATCTGCGTGTTCTCTGAATTAAAGCGAGGTTTCGCTCATCATATCGAGTGCCACATGTCCGCCAAATCCAAACACGACCGCCTTCTCCAGTCGATATCCCGAATTCATCAATGAATATGACACGTGACCAATCCACAAGTGTCCAGTTAACGAACTGTTCCGCATAAATGAGTCGCCTTTCCTTATGGAACTCTCGCAACCGCTCTTTAATGGCTGCGACACGATGTCTGACACCTTAAGATCAAAACAATTAATAAAATTTCTGTAAATAAATAAAATCAATGAAATTACCCTGATCACTCAATCGCCTCCTAAGGGTACGACCACTCGCTGCTGCAATGTTTGCATTGCCTTGAATTGCCGGCAATTGTCTCAATTCATTCAAATTAGACCAGTTGTTGGCGATTGCAGTCTCACTTAGTAATTGGTCATCTTCTGGTTCTGTGATCCTATCGCGACCTCCAGATCTTGGGACAGTTATGAACGGCAGGTCCTGGTCGTCGATTTTGCACCACTCATAATAAGTCTTTTCACTGATTTCTATAATACAATATCTTTTAATATAATGTAATTATAAATTTTTAATGTAATTATTTACCAACGGTTCGGAGAATCATCCGTTTCGTCATCTCCTTTGCTCTCAATTTAATGAATTGTCTGAATTTGAGCTCACGTCCAATAACAGTGAGACCCATATTAAATGAAATTTGTTTAACACTTATTTAAATCAAAACAACAATTCAATTTAAATCCAAAACAAACACAATCTGTAAACAAAACGTTTATCACATAAATGACGTCTGCATATGACATTTTGTCAGAAAAACTCCAATTTTATATTAACCACCCAATTATTATATTACCATGGTACTTTATATGGCAAATGGTATACCGTTTAATTACGTAATAATCCAGCTACATTTTGGTGAAAACCGATTAAAAATCGGATAATCCATTCAAAAATTATTTAACTTTTTCCTTCGGTAGGTAGATTTGGCCAAAGTAGTATATCGCTAATTATGTAAAATTAAAAATTATCTAAGATTTATGGGAATTTCAAAACACATTCACAATAAAAAACACATGATTTCTTATATTAATCAATTATTAATGCAATTTACACATTAAATATATTTATCAACATCCTCTTAAAACTCTATAAACATTTTATTTGTTTATTCAGGTGACATTCAATTTATTTTCCCGTTAACTTTCTAATTAATAACCTCTCTCTCACTTACTCACTCTCTCACTCACATACACACACATAAATAAGTTAATAAATTAATCGTTGCATCAATCAATTTTATTATTGCAAAATCATCCAGGTGGGTCAATTCCCAATGCAAAAATTTGTAAACAACTAAAATTATATATCAATAAGTCACTACTATATAAGTAGCTATTTTTAAATTAATTTTATTTAAAAATATTGACTTAAGCAATAATACACTGTATTATAAGTAAAGTTAAATATGAAACTATTACTAGGTAAGTATCAATATGACCATCGTAAAATATAAATTTTTTATTTTATATTACAGAAATATTTGGCTTATTTGCAATAATTGCGAACATTAAGCTTGTCAGTTGTAATTGTACCGATCCAAGTGTAATATTACCCTGTACCGGGTGCGAAAAAAATATCATGTATTGTACCGAGGAGACATTTGTCGATTTGGACGCGATATTTACAAAATTAAGCAAAACTTTGACCCCGGAGCAAAAACATTTTAAAGAATTTATGTTCATCAACAATAATAAAAATAACACCAAGCTAACGGCTAACTTATTTCAAGATATTTTGTTCGAAACTATCAACATCTATTCCTCATCATTGACAGAAATTCACCCTGATGCTTTCGGCCAGAATTACTATTATACAAAATCATTTAGCTTTTTTAATGATTGGTTACTAACAGCACCGCATGCTTTACTTGATGTTGTTATGAGGTAGGGGAACAAGGTTATATTAATTTATTCTATATTCTAAAAATTGAATTGAATCTTGTCACTAGTCTTTTATAATCAATTTACAGATTTGAAGTTGTTGAAGAAGTCAAACTAGGTGCGGTCAATTTAAGTGGACTAGATGTTGCTGTTTTTCGCCAGGGTCATCACAAACATTTAGAATTGCTTGAGTTATTTGGAGATTCTAATTTTCAAAAATTGAATGGCAATATATTCAGCCATCTAACTGCGCTCACTGAGTTGAGATTGTGGGATAACGACCTCACTTACATTAGTGATAATGCGTTCGCCATAAACGAACCCAGTAACTCGACCCTGCATATTTCACTTTGGAACAATGGTAATCTTATGCCATCAAGTTTCGCGCGTAATTCATTGATCGGGATTAATCGACCCACCTCAATTGATTTGTCAAATACTTATGAAGTTTCAAAAATAACTTATTTTCCCGAAGACGTGTTTTGGCCATTTTTTGCGGCCAACCCGTTAAATGAGATAGATCCATTTGATAGCTCCAATTTCGATTGCCAGGATTGTAAATCATACTGGCTCAAACAGCGCGCGTTGTTCAAACGTATTCCCGATTTACAATGCTCGAACGGAAAGTCTGTCGATGATCCTGATAATTTTATAAATTGCCATACGGGAGGCTCTTACTCACAAATGCCCCTTGTGTAATTGAATTGACCATGGTGATGGTGTCAATGTTAATTCAAAATCAATTATTATTGAGGAGGGTAACAAAAAGAAAATTATTATTAGCGACAAATATTTCTAATATTTTTAAGAATTTAATTTTTAAAACAAAATTTTACATGAGTTTACACATTTATAATTGTAATCAATAAGAATTATAATGATAATAAAAAATTCCTAAAATACTTATCAGGGCCGCAACGGATACAGTGGGGGTCTAACAGGGCCGCCACGGGTATGGTGGCGGGTTATTAGAGCCGCCACGGGTACGGTGGCGGGTTATTAGGGCCGCCACGGGTATGGTGGCGGGTTATTAGGGCCGCTACTGGTGGCGGGCAAACATACTTAAACGCCACCCGCCACGTGGCGGGTGGCGTTTAAGGGTATGCCAACATTTTATCGATATATAACTAATATATTATAAAGTTTTATGTCAAATTATTAAATTATACATTTTTATACAAAATGTAAATGAAACCCGAAAATTAAACAAGATTTTAATATTAAACCAAAATGACATTGAGTTATTATTAATAACTTATTATCATAAATTCCTCTAAAATATGTAAATCTGTATGATAACAATTCTTTTTGTACAATTCATGGACATTATATTGTCCAGGCGAGACATTGCCCTGGACACTGGACAGATACCCTAATTCCTGGACAGTCCAGGTCAAACCTGGACGGTTGGTCACAGTAGCCTTGAGTTAACAATTAAGGGGACATTCAGCCACCGGTACGAGTGCTGTACTAAACTCATTATTTCTGCAAATGTCGGCATTATTATAGCAATGACACCATTATTGCAAAATGCGGCATTCAATTCACAAATATAACACTTCACACAATCTGCGTACAAACAATTAAACAAGCTAATTAGGTTAATTAAAAGTTATTACACATTTTAATACAAACAATAGTTTTGTATTAGTGTTGAGACGATTATAATAATATAAAAAATTAAGTGAATTATAAAATGTTGTAGCTAGTTTATAAAGTTTATGATTTTTGGTTAAAATGTTATTTTAAAAGTGTTTTGTGTATGAGTTACACAAAACTAGTGAAATAGTTGTAGTAATGAATGCAATGTTTGTTTTTGCGGACTAAACACACAATTTATGGCTAATAATGACAACGCGTTTCTAAAATTACAATCACTTATAAGGTGTGAAATATAATATAGTGTTATGTAATGTGAATATTTTGATTGAAAATATAAAGGAGGATGCATACCCCTTAACCAACATATTTGTCGTATAGTCGATTTTTTAATATAACTGATATTATTAACAATTCTTATATAACTTTGGACGAGAAGTCTGAATATCTAATTTATATTGACCTGTGACCTCGGGTTCGGTTGCAGTGACCACTTATATCGGGAAAATTTTCCGATTATAATTCAAAAATTTTATAAACCTGAGTAATCATGCAATTAATGTAGAATTTGTGACAAAAACTGTTAAAAATGACAATATTTCATTTAAATCTTGGGTTTTCTATATTATTATTTACACCGTCATATTAAGAGTGAAATTCTCTACGAAATTGGAATATCACATATCCATATTTATAAGGGAAATATTTCCCGATAAAAGTGGCCACTGTAGCTGGCCACTATGCAATAGAAATTACATAGTTATATTTCTTGTAGGATGTCAGTACTAATTTTATTATATATTATGAATTCCTTTTAAGTTTAGATTTCATTTTTTAAATTTCTAGAGAAAAGTTTAAATTGAATATATTAAATTGAATTAAATAAATTTGTGAATAATAGACCTGGGTATTTTAATTGACCCGATCATAATAAACAAGCTCAATTAATATTTAATTAAGTAAATATGAGAGCTATTGGTGCTGACCTAGATCCGTCAACCCTTACAATATCATTAGTTAAATTATAATCAAATATATCCATTATACATGTATTATTGAAATAATTAGTCAATTAAATTTTTACTATTGAATAGAATATATTGATATACTCTATATTAACTTAAGTTAACCTTGGTTATAAAATAAACTAATATGTGTTCCTAATAACATTAAATAAAATGGAAAATTTATAAGTTATGGACACCCCCCAAAAGTTGGCCTTTTATTTAACTTATCCGACGTTTATTATGTATTAAAAGTCAATAAATTCTTATTTTAATTAAATTTTACGGGGAATCCACTTTTGTCTAAATTGGCACCAACCACAAACAAATTAAAATGCCCCAGCTGAATTTCTACATATTTTGTGTTGCCACCAGACCACAATGCTTCTCCAGTCTGTTTCTCTTGGCTGATATAAATACCGTACACGTCGTAAGGTTTAATATGATCAACATCCATTTGTATCATTAAACTCAGTTCGCTATAGCATTTATTGCTATGACGATCAATTTGACCAAGGCACCAATTCGTTTCGATAGTTGTCGAATAATCTTTCATACGCTCAACGATTATATTTGCAATCTTAGCGCACGTCTCATCTGTCAGCAAGTTACAAATCGCTATGTTTGGTGTTGATTTACTGGCATCTATAATATTGGTGATTGTTTCCTGAAATAATTTGCATACTATGCTTATCAGTGTTTGATTTTTTATATTGATTAACTATTAAAGAGTTCAATTATTTAATAAACTATTACAGTTACTAACGTGTAAATATTTCGTTTAAATAGTTACCACTGGTCTCCACTAATAATATTTATTAATCAATCACTTAATTTATTATTAAACCTATTTTAATAGATTACTCACTCGCTAAAACGTAACGCTTAAAATGATCAAGCTATTACATTCCATCATTGTATCATTATAATATACATTAGAATTAACAATAACATAAATATATTAATAATAAACATAAATATTGTAAGGGAACTAAATATGCTGTCATTAGTGTAAAACAGTCCCTGATAATTAATGAGAGTGTCTATGTCAATTTGAATACTTTTATTGCCATTTATAAAATAAATCAAAATTATTAATAATTGTAGCTATCATTTTGTCTATGTTTATACATTATAAATAACTACTTTGTCACTTTTGTACTTGGTTGATTTATATTAGGCTTCACATCAGTCTTAAAAATAACTGAATCTATGAGCATTGCCAAATATTTTACTATATAAGCACCTGTATGTTATATTACATAACAATTCTATGGTCAGTGTTTAACATCAATTGTAAACTGTATTTTAAAATGAGTTTATAAAATAAAGTGCCTTTTTACAATAATTTGTAGTTAATTTATTAATAATAATCTTGGTAAACGCGGACAACTTTTAAAAATTAATTAAACTAGCTGATTTACGGTTACCGTGAGCTGGGTATCAGTCGGATAGCAACAGGAGCTCACAATATGTTGATATATTTATAATAACACAGATTAGTTAGATAAATACTAGTAGATACCTGGTGGTTTATTATATTCAAATATTATTCAATTATTTATAATATAATTGAATAATTTAATAAATCTAATTATTGGCAAGAATTCAATAATTATAATAATATATTATTCTACAATTATTTTAATTCTCTAATTACTTACTTGCTTAAGTGTTACTGGTTTAGGTCTGTATATACCCAGCACATATTCACGATATTGGAGCTTAATATAAGACTCGAACTCTACTGACATATATAGCTGGGATGCGGTTGCGTTCACCATAAACTGTCCGATCCACCCAATATGATCAGGGTACTTTGTGTCCAATTCCTTGACCATTAGTTCAGCCAACGATTCATTAGTGGGTTTGTCGACAAAGTCCATCATTTTTTTGATCACGTGGGCCTCTATTTCGGGACTAATATAGCTGTCAATTACGTGGACGTCATCTCTGGCCGTGAATGCAGTCGAGCTTATGATTAATAATACGAATCCCTTGTAAATCATCTTGATCATTGTTCAGCTATTAATATATAATTATATTTTTAAAAGTAAATATACAATATAAATTAATTAACTTGGCGAATTTAATTAGAAATAAAATACTGGAACATACAGTAACGGTTAGTGTAATAATTTTCAAGAATAAAATTTAAACTTATATTTATAATATAAGTCCCAATATTTGTTATTAAGTAAAATTATATTTTTTACTCATTTATAATTGTAATTTAAAAAGTTGCTTTTAATTACTATAGAACTAAAATGATTTTAGAATTTATAGGTAAATATTATCAGTTTTTACTCCAGGGACATTTAAGCATAACAGTGGATAGAAAACCCTTTGAATGTGAAGTATATAGGGTTAAAGATAAAGTTTATTTATTAAGTTGTACAGTACAACTTGTACTTATGTACGTATTATACTTGTTATCAATACTCATAATCAATCTTTTTTAGCTTTAAGTCTTAAACAAACACTTATCAGTGGATAGAAAACCCTTTGAATGTGAAGTATATACAGTTAGTCTCAAAATAGAGCAGCCTGGTTTTTGTAAGAAAAACACATGAAGACAATTTTTGATTTAATTCATATTTATATAAGAAATCCGGAATTTTGTGATAAATCTTATGAATTGACAATTA